AAGCTGCGTTTCTCTATAATAAAATAAATTTTATATTTACGATATATTTAGATTATTTAACGAATTAATACAAGATAAGCAAGCTCTCTTACCTAAAATAAAAGAAGAAACTAACACTTAAATCTTCATCTCACAATTAGCCATTATCACTATACTTATAATAAGATTATAATAAGACTATCTTACTTATCGGAAGATTTTCTCACATTACCTATCCTCCCACTTCTACCACCTTTTATATCTCTACCGATGTCGCTAGTTGTGGCCTCTAGTGTTACATATTATAATTACTAGATTAATTGAATATTAAACAATAACGGCGGTTAAATGGCCGTTTATTTTGAAAATGACCTAACTTCATTTTCCAAAAAATTCAAGTTAACTAACGTATTAGTTACATTTGTTCATTCTGAAGCAATTTGTTACTAATATATTTAAAACTATGAAGATTTAATTAAATTATAATTTAAATTTATAGTTAAATTATAAGTTTATAGTATCTATAGAAAATAGATTTTAATTGTGGTGACTATGATTATGATTATATTATTTTTTGTATTAAACAAAAGTTTACAAACGAATAGAAGAATATGTAATATTTGAAATATACGTTACGATATTTGAATGTAACGTGAATTAATTTACAATAAAAAAATATATAATTAAATAATTAAATGGAACATTTCTTCTTTTTTTTTTTTTTTTTTTACAGTCAAAATATGAAACGATGATAAAGATGATGATGATGATGATAATGATGATGATAAGTTGAGTACGTTGATTTATGATTGAGTAATATACCTTTGTAAAAAAAAATGTGACGTAATAAGTGAAAACAACTTCAAGGATTATTTCATGATTCAAAAAATGAGACACTGTAAATCGTAAGAATGAAACGGTGTCGAGTTATAATACTTCATGATCTTTTATTTTGTCTTTTCATTAATTTTAATATACAATACATATTTATGAAGACTAATCATTAAGTTATTGTTTGTGCTACCAAATGATAAAAAGAAAAAAATATTTAACAATGATTATACTTTGTATAATAATTAATTATACATGCAAACGTGATTTACTTATAATGAAAAGGTAAGAAGATTATGCATAATATCATTTATATAATAATAATAATAATAATAGTCATAATAACAAATAACAACAATAAATTACATAAAAATAATATATATATATAATATAATAAATATAAAAAATTATATAGTATAATAAAAATATACACAAATAACTGATAAATGTACTACGTAAGACAAAATTTTACTTAAAACAATTGAAATTATGAAATTGTGTTTGAATATTTTTACTTTTATTAAAATAATAATTTAATATAAATAAATAATATAATATAATAATAATAATATTAATTATTATATATATATATATATAATATTATATTATGTAATATAAGTGTGTAAATATTAAAAATTATTAATAAATATATAGGAGAATGTATCTTAGCAAAATTTGTATTATCAAATTTTGGTTATTTGACAATTTCATAAGGTAATAAAAATGTATTTACATATTTATTATAATAATAAATACATTTATCATTAAATCTGTATCTAATATATTTCATATTTGTATTATTATATTATCTTTAAAACGACAAAAGATTTGAATTTGAATTTGAACAAAAGAAATCTCATAGAAATAGTAATAATAGGACAAAGTCTTAAAATCATAAGAAATATAAAAACAAAATTTGAAGAAAGAAAAAGAAACAACAAAAGAAAAAAACCTTTGTATACCTACATATATACACATAAAACCCAAAATACCAGAAAGTGAAAGTATAAACGATCATAAATCAACCAGTGAAGGACAAATTTTCTTCATCACGAAAATCCAATATGTATACAAATCCGTATATATATATAATCTAATATACAAATCTATATATATATAGAATATCTTATTTATTTCAAATTTGTATTATCCAATTTGTTTATTTGACAAACTTGTAGGTTTGCAAAAATTTATTCTTATATATTTATAACTATTATTAATATATATAATTTAATTTATCATATTAGATATATATATATAATATATTTATATAGATGATATATACATAATATTGTATATACATAAGTACATAATATATATAAGTATAATATACTAAACTTTTATATATTTAATTATATAGTTGAAATTTTCAGAGAGTTATTTTAAGGTTTTGTATATTTTAAAGTTATTTTAGGTTATTTTAAGATATATATATAATTTTTATTCAAATTAAAGATAAATTAGTGCTAATGAAAATATCTACAATAAATCCTAACATTTGCAATGCTAATTCAAATGTTGCAATTATCAAATTGCAAATGATATTCAAATTGCAATGCAATATATTTTTTTAAAAAAATACTTCATCTTTGATCAATTTTAGATCTTAAAATACTGAATAATATTGAATTGTTTTATTATTATTAATATGAATATTATTTCATGTAATTGTAAAATATTTAAAAATGAATAAAAATAATTAATAATAATAATAATAATAATAAATTAAGATAAATGTTAATACAAATTCAATGTTAAAAACATTCTTGAAAAATATTCCCTGCTGTGTAATTTTCTAAATTATGGAAAATAAATCACCTGGAAGAATACCAGGGGGTCTATCAAAAAAAAAAAAAAAACTACAAAAATAGTGGGACAAAAAAATTTAGAAAAATCATTGTTTACGAAATAACCAAAGATTTACAAAAGAAATTTCATCAAAATAGGAATAATAGGATGAAGTTTTAAAATTAGAAGAAATAAGAAAAGAAAAAGTGGATGAAAGAAAAAGAAATAAAAAAAAAAAAAGCCTTTGTATACTTATATACCTACTAAATCCAAAATAAAAGAAAGTAAAAGTATAAATGATCATAAATCAATTTATGAAGGACAAAATTATCTTCACTGTGAAAATTCAATTTCACATGAATACATCCTTTCAGAAAATAAAAGGACAAATAACACGTGTTCAATACTTTTATAGAAATTGTCTTTTTTTTTTTTTTTTTAAGATTTCATGACTAATTTTGGAAAGCATTAGAAAATGTTGGATGTTATCTTCTCTTTTTATTTCTAAAAGAAAATATAGAAACAACACAACGATCCTAAATAAAAATCGTAAATTTAACGAATATCTCATCAATTCTATAAATGTCATCTTTAAATAGAAATAAATTTTCAATAGAAAGAAACAAAATATACTTTTAAGCGAAGAAAAAAAAAACAAAAAGAAACCTTTTTCGTTTTGTTCACGAAAACGCTTTCACTTGTATTGTGTTCTTTTATTTATATCGAATTTATTTTAAATTTCGTTGCAAATGGTTTTTCCTCTTCTTCTTTTTCTCTTTGTTTGTTTATTATAAGAATTTTTCTTTACCATCTGTCGATAATAAAATTCAAATGTTAACACAAAAATTAACTCGAAATAAAGTAAAACTTTCTAACCTAAAAAATTATTTCAATCCTATTGTCTATATATATATATATATATATATTTGTTATATTGTGTCGAGTTTATAGAAAAATTGTTCATTGAATTATTTTACAAAATATCTACCATTTTCTACAATATTTTATCGAATTATATTAAAGAAATATTATTTCATAAATTCTTTACAATTTAACTATTAAACATAAATTTTTGTCAATCTGTTATTTATTACTTATATTTATGATTTTATACAAAAACACGTTGTATAAATTATATATTAATTTTTGGTTGACAAATTTTTCAATTATATCAAATTTTAATAACAATTAATTTTAAATTAATAATAATAATAATAATAAGACCGCACACTAAGTAAAACATAACCTATATCAATGAATACTATTAAATAAATTATTAATGTACATAATTTGATCGTATGAAAAATGATCACGTATTTAAAAACCATAATTATTATTATTACCATAATTTAATCGTTTCTATTCTCTTAACATTTACGATCTATACAAAATTCGCGTACTAAATGTTTTTTTTTTTATTACTTAATTAAGATCGATATTACGTGAAATGTTTTAATTAGATCATTTCAATTGAGTTCATAGTGCAGTTCAAAAATGAAAATGATTTTATGCAAATTCTCTAGGTCAATGTTACGTTTCCTTATTTTATTGTTTTTCTTTGAAATTATTATAAATAATATCAAATAAGTATCTTCCAAGTTCATTTATTCTTTCATTCTTTCTCTCTCTCTCTCTCTTACTCCCACTTCTACTTTTATTCTTTCTCTCACTCATTCTTTTTCTCTTTCTCTCTGTTACTCCCACTCCTATTCTCTTTCTCTTTCTTTTTCTTTGTCTGTACATCTATCTCTATCACTCTTACCACCTACGGATACTAGTGCCACTCGTGGCCATTATGCGAACTAACGGCACACGCGACACGTGCTCCAAAAACCCGCCACTCCTTTCTCCCTAAACGGATAAAGAAAATACACACACGCATTAACCTATTTCACATAAATCTAAAGAGAGAAAGTAACCTAAATTTATAACGGAAAATAATTTCTAACGTGTTTAACCAAGACTTATTCATTTAAATACAATAATATCATATATAATAATCGAAGATTGATTAAAATATATTTGTCAATCGTTAAAGAAATGTTTTATTATGGATGTCTTGACGGATAAGTATAATAATATAAACGGGGTTATTCGAGGTCGTACGATTACTCATAATTCTATTTTTCTCTTCAACGAAAAATAAGTATACACTCGTGTGTCATGTGTGTGTGTGTGTGTGTGTGTTAAGTGTAGAGTAAGAGACGACAAATGCATATATATATATATACCACTCAAGGTAAGAGTAAGAAAGAAAGATAGAATTGAAATGAGTCAAATCAATGATTGAAAGAAAGATAAAATTAAAATGAGTCAAATCAGTGATTGTAAGAATAATAAAACACTATCGAAAATATCTACAATGAACATTAATCGAATGATTTATGAAAGATAATAATTACCTTTTGTTGAATCCAGTTCATTACGATGTCTGGCATACCGGCTGAGAATATAACCAAGAAAAATGATGATACTGCCGATGATCATTGTCAAGAAATACAGAATGATGTTTGATTCCGCACGGTTGAACAAAATTTTACTTCTGTTGTCTTCCATTTTTCTTTATTTTTCTTTTCTCTATACTTTTATTATATTATTTTAATTATTATTATTATTATTATTATTGTTTGACGTTATCGGATTAAAAAACCGGTCAATGAAATATTGTCCGTTGTTAATATTATTAAAATCACTTTGACCACGAGGAAATGATTATTATTATTATTATTATTTTTGAAATATCACGTTTGTCGTTGTTGTAAATATCGTTAGGCAAAAAATAACATGACAGAAAATCAACACACCGGCCAAACAAATAGGAATGCACGAACGCACGAACGCACGCACGCACGAACGAACGCACGTTTTCGTTAACACCGCGATTAAGAACGAACGAATTAATTGAACGAACAAACGAACGGAACAGGGATGGAAAAACAAAGTTAAATTGATAATTATCTATTGTTTTTAATTCGATTTGATTTGATTAACGATAATCGTAATTATCGAAGACACAAATCGTACGACGAACGGAAATAATATGAAAGAAAAGAGGTTATGGTAAATTTTTTTTTTTTTTTTTTTTTTTTTTTGAAAAGGTAGAGTTAAGTTACACTGAATTGCACGTAAGAAACACACACGCCACACTGCTCGTTGTTGATTTAAATGGAAAAAAAAACCTTCTTTTTCTTTTTTTTTTTTTTTTAATGAAAATTAAGGCTTTTTACTTGTTTTTTTTTTTCAAATATTATTTTACCGTTTTTCTTTTGTTTCGATAGAATTTTTTTCTTTTTTTTTTTTTAACGACGTATTAATATTTCGCGTGCACATTAAACGCGTGTTACCGGAAAATATACGAAAAAAGATCACACAACGACTAGCGCGATAATAACAGTCAACTTAATCATTTGTAATCCATGAAATAATTCTTATCTAGATTCGTACCTTTAAATGTCTATTTGTGTATAGGTTATTATCGATAAATTCAAATTTGATTGTACACACTGTCGGTAAACAAGGAACGATACTTAGCAAAATTAAAGAGAATTATTATTATTTTTTTTCTTTTTTTTTTACATACAATTTTTATTTTTGTCAAATTTAATTATTGTTCTATTGACTTATTTTCTTTTTCTTTTTTTTTCTTCTTCTTCTTATAATAAATGATTTTAATAATAAGACGTAACAGGTAATGTGATTGTCCTTGATTATCCTGATATTGTTTGTTCTTCAATTGCACGGATCAATTAAATTATATTTAATGTTTTATTAGTTTTTTTTTTTTTTTTCGTCGATACGATAAAATATCACTGTGGTTACACCTTGGTTGTTTTATTTTTTCTTTGTTTTGCTTTTTTTTTTAGTTTTTTTTTTTTCAAGGATTACCGTTAATCTATTTTATCAATTCATATTAGCAACCAAATTTTTATTCGAAAATTTGCGTATTGTTATGAAAAAAAAAAAAAATAAATAAAATAAGGAAAAAAAATAGTATGAAAAAAAGAAAAAGAATTTCGAGACAAAAAAAAAAAGAAATAAAATAAAATAAAATAAAAGAAAAACGAAATCAAATTAACTACTTTTGCCAAAACAGTAGTCGTTATTATTTTTTGATCATCCTTGAAAGAAGATCCATGAAAATTGATAATTTTAATTATTACAATTATATAGTCATTCTTTAATGATAATAGAATAGAATAGAATAGAATAGAATAGAATAGAATAGAAAAAAGAGCAAAAAAAAAAAAGAAATTTACTAATTAAAATTTTAAATAAATAAACGTTAGGAATAATTTAAACGGAATATAATTATTATTATTATTATTCGCGATATTATCTTTTTTGTTTTTTTTTTTTTTTTAATGAACTTTCTTTCAGATAATTTCCAGAACAATCGAAAGAGATAATAGAAAATGAAGGATCCTTTTTAAATGACAGGATAATAAAATCACAAAACACGTTAAGTTCGAACACTCGCGATGATCGCGGTACGAATAAACTGTTAGGTCGTTTGTCTTACGTAAAATCAAAACGCCAACCGCGAACTCTACAGGCGGTTTTGCGAATAAAATATGGCCGCTTAATCGACCTAATATTTCAAAGGAAACCGTGACGCGCTCGTGGGTTTAGAGAAAACGTGTCTTTGATGAAACGGAAGATCGCGTGCCGAGTATATACGTCCCTAATTCCTCACCTTTCCTCACCACTCCCCTCCCAATCAATTCTTACCTTTTTAACACCTAACCTTTAAATATCTATCTATCTTTCTTTCTCCTTCTATCAATCCCCACACTACTCACCACCCTAATCCCCTCTCTCTTTCTATATATCTCATTCTTTTCTTATTCTTCCTATCCATCTACTTATGTTAAACACTTTTGCGTATAAAAAAGAATGTTGTCATGATGTTTGTATCGGATAATATACAAGCTACCTATACAGGGCCTTCCAAAACTTATTTTACGTCATTTGATTGAATTCAATTCTTTAATTCTTTTTTTTTTTTTTAGGTATGATATTTAAAATGATAATAACGATTTAAATTAGTAATTGTTAATTTCAAATATGGCGACTAGAAAAAGGCGCCAATATATATTTTAAATAAACCATATATATATAATCGATTCGTTTTCAAATTAAAATTTAACACGATGAATGATTGATATAACAATATTAATAATAAATTCGTGATTTATCATTAATTTTTAATTTTAATTAATTGTATGATAAGTGTAAATTAACATTTCGTAAGAATTTCAAATGATTTCCTAGTGTACTTCGTAGTCAAAATAAAAACTATTTTAAAACTGAATATTGAATTACTGTTTGTCCTATGTAACAATTATGTGTGCCATATTTTGTCATATCTTCGGAACTTCAAGGAACAATAAATAACAGAGATAATGACATAACACAATGAACTAAAATTTCTATTTACACACAAAATGAATATTAAATAATTTCAACGGCAGTATGATTCATCGCGAGTAACCTGTTTTTTTTTTTAATTTTCTTTTGAACGACTTAAACGAATCCTGACCGACATTATTGCGTCATCCAATTGGCGGCTTAAGTTTTCCGCGAAATTCTATTGGGTTTCGTAGAATCGCGGATGATTGTATTTTCCCCAGTCCTTAGGTTTTTCTTGATTATTTACGCGTTTAATTGAAACAAATTTTTTCATGGAATAACTTGCGTCATTGATTACTGATAACAACTAAATACTCGCGTCATTGCATTATCAATAATTATGTGATACCAAGAAGAATGCAAAGATGATGTAGAAAAGAAAAAAAGAATTAAAAAAAAAAAGGGGGAAAAAAAAACATTGGGATTTACGATAATGTTGCACATACCAATTTTTTCCTTATATCTCGTAAACTTGACCAATGAGAAAATAAACAAATAAATACGTTAATCTCTGTGTGTGTGTGTAAGTTATTACACCTGTTGTTTCAGAAGCTTATTTGGCTTGTTTGTTTGTTTGTTTGTTTGTTTGGTTTTTTTTTTTGTAAAACGTTGCAATTGGAAAGGTACATATCAAAGAATAAAAGAGAGAATTTGTTATCAATTGATCAGAGAAAAGAGTTGACTCGTTTCTAGCGGGAAGATGCGTTAAATTCAACCCGTTACACGATCCGTTACTTTTCCTCCTTTCAGATATCTTCGTTCTCGATTCGGTTTTCCTATGCGCGAGTATAACGAGCATTAAATTTTACCGCGTGTTCGGGCACCAGGAGCGTACGAACAGAAAAAAACAAACAGAATGAATCCTTCTTTATCGACACATATAAAATTAAAAACTTATTATAAATATTATTATTTAAAAAAAAATATATATATATATATATATATTATAAATATAATTAATTTGGAAAAATATGATTAATAGTAATTTAAACAAATATTATTGATTAATTTAATATTAACACAAATTTTAGGTTATATTAATAATAATTCTAACGTAGAATTTGTTCTTATTCAAATAATAATAATAATTATATATAATATGTATGTTATTTCTGGTAGAAATAATTTAAATTTTTTTTTGATTTTGTTTTAATATCGTAATAGCGTGACGATAAGTTTTTTGAAAATGAAAAACTGACCAGTAAATTAATATTCATTTGATGATTATTAAATAAAAATGGCGATAGTACAAACATTTGGATTAGCACGTAAATATTTTTATCCTTATATATATATATGTATGTATGTATATATTATAGATAAGAACAATTTGATTTCATAATCGGTTTTATTTTTGAAATTATTACTGTCTGTATTTAAAAAAAAAACTTGAACGTCATAATGACGTCATGTTAGGAATGGTGAACGTCAAAACGATGAACCCACCACATGTGGTCAGATTCGTAAACAAAATCTTCACATTTTTGCTATAAAATTTGTTTGTTTTGTTTGTTTTCGTTGTATTATTAAAAACAATAATAATTATTGTTATTATGAAGTCTCGACGATAAGAAAAGAAAAAGAAAAAAAAAAAAATGAAATAAGAGAATAAATGTGTTTCGTATTACTTATAAGAATCTGCAAAACGCGGAAGATAACCTCTATCTTAATTTACAAACAAAAATCACGTGTTTTTATTCGTTTTATTAAAATCATGTATATATGTATATACAAACATTACATTTATCATATTATATTGAACAAATTGTAAAAACGTGTTATTTCAATATTAATTATCGTAAGAAAATATTAACATAACCTCTATGATATATTATATTAAATATATTAACTAAATATTTAAATATATAAATATGATACACTCAATAATGTATATTAAATTATTCGATATAATATAATAAATTAATTTAATACACTATTATTATTAACATAACCTATAATATATAATATTATCTTTATAGATAATTTATCGTTTAAATTTTAATTAGAAACAACAGAAATAAAAAAACAACAAAAAATTACTACGTAAAACATTTCTTAATTATTATTAAACTATAAAATATAACAATTTTTCCCCAATAAATAAATTTTGTTCATCAAGTAAATTCATATGCAAAAAAAATATTCTCATAGAAGATTTTGTTTATTTGTTAAATTAGATATTTCGGGACAAGTATAGTACATTAAACGTGTCTTCCCTGGGTTTAGGGTCAATGAACCTTCGGTCAAGTCAAAAAGTCGTTTGCCCTTAAAAAAAATTTCGTCTGTGTGTGTCTATGTTAACATCTGTCAAATTCTCTTTTCTGTTAGATTCAATCGAAATAATATAAAAGATAAAAAGAGAAAATGAAAATATAGTGAAATTATATATTCATCTTTGAAGGTTTCGTTGAATGGTCTCGGTTGACCTTGAAATAAGATTTATTTTCTATTGAAATTCTTTGGAATTTGAATAAAACGTTTTTTCCTTTTTTTCTCAACGAGATTACAATTAAATTCATACTAAAAATTTATTCATTAATTTATTTATTTAWTACTTAAATAATTATAAAATAAATTTATTAAAATTAAATTTTATAATAAATTATTTAATAATTAAAATTAATAAAATAAAAAAATCTAACGTTAGAATTTATCAATTAATTTATTTATTTAATATTCAAATAATTAAATTTAATTTAATTTATTATAATAATAAGTAATTTAAAACATTTATTCGCGTAAAATGTTGACATATAGAATCAAATAATAAAAATAAAAATAGTACAATACTTTAAAACTTACTATAGTACTTTCATTTAACA